TTTTCCACCCCTTTTTGTCGCATACGCGTTCCAACGAAAAGGCTGAGAACGGCTTCAAAGAGTGTGCGCACTCCTACTGGCTGATACGCCCCGACAGTCCGTAATGATGAGGAGAGTAAGATAAGCGGGAACTTTAGTTGATAACGTCGCAATCAGTCGGGGCGGGGTGAGGTGTCATCGGCTGTCCTGCTCCACCAGTGGTTACCAGTGGTGAAGGTCAGTGATCTACTTAATGAGGGAACAACCAGTGGTGGAAACGCCACAGGTGGGCTGTTTCTATTCCGATTAAAACCACCTCGAAAGACTACGATGGTATCAACTGTAGCCGATCAGGATGCGTGTGTGACACCCCGGCGTTCCTACCAGTTGGTGCGTGTCACCAGGTTTTTGTGACTTCATGCCTTCTTTAGTCTGTATCAGAGCACAGAGTTGCGCGAAACCGCCAGAGAGTCGAATTTGGCCTCGAGAGCCATTTTTGCGGTTGTCAGTTTCTTCCTTCCCACGCTCGCTTCAACTTCACCTTTGGCGCCGCGGTAAGAGTACTATTTTCGATAATTCGTCGGAGTCTACCCCCTCCTCCGGTCGCGCTAAATATTTGAAAAAGTTGGAGATGTGCTAAGAACATTGGTAAGCTGTAATAGGGGGTCACACTGTCGTTTCATCCATCTTCATGCTGTATTCTGGTCCGGCTTGACCCATGACCCACTTCACTTGGAGGCCTCATCTTCATCGTCTGGAGCGCACCCCGCCCCCTCTACCCCAGGTCGCCGCCAAACAACTGTAAGTTCAGTTACCAAAATAGTGGTTTTATGGGAGTTTAGCTGCGTGGCCAGCTAAGCGTCAGGCATATCAGTCTCGTTCGCTGTGGATGCTGTGAGGTTTGGCCACCACACCCCGTTCTCCCCGATTGTCACAATTGGTAGAGAAAAAACGTCAAAAGAGCCTTCCTCTGACGCGACCCAACACCCGCAGTGAACAGACATCAGCACACGTGAAACAGGGACACAGCAAGAAGTCCAACCAGAAAAAATTTTCTAGCGCTCGTCAAAAATTTCCTTATGGCCAAATAAGGTCTCCCCTTCAAAGCGACGAACAACATCGCTCCACCACTCTCCCCCTCTCCCTATGAGAGGTTCACAACGACGTGGATAGCGCTCGTCAAACAGGAAAAATTACCTATCAGAAAACTTTTTTCCAGGCCAAATACGACCCCTCTCAACGACCTAGGAGGACCCCGCCTGGGTTGTT